ACATTGGTGCAACAACAATGTAGATTTTGTGTGGGTCCTCTGGCCTGCTCCCACAGTCCAAAGACATGCAGGCCAGGCTAATAAAGTAAACTGGCTAGTCTAAATTGTCTGTAGGTGTAAATGGTTGCTTCGTGTAAACCCTGTGATTGACTGGAAAGCTGTCCAGACAAAATGTTGCTGCAGGGATTGAGAGCCCATTTCATTTTATTGTAGGTGGGTTATTGTCATTTCTTCAACACATGCTTTCAAAGAGGTCAGATGTTTTGTGAATGACATTCTCTTCTCCATCATTTGTTGAGTTTTTTCAGAGCCAACTCTTAAAAGATGATTTGAATGTGCAGTACTGCTTTGTGCTTGAAGTGATTTACAGATAATAACTGACTCAAAAAGGGAGAAGATCAAGACCCTTATGCACACAAAGTCTCTCAGTTGATTCTGCTTCAGAAAGAATCCAAAGCCATGTCCTTAATTCATTAATATTTTGGCCACTATGGCTGTGAACTGATACTTCTGCACCAAGTTGATGCCAAAATTCCAAAAACGTAGTGGTACTTATTTTCCAGTACTGTAGCTACCAGGGATGCAGTTCTTCCGCACTTGACTGGACACTTATACACTTACATTAGTGTTCTAATGTGCCGTTAAATGCTAAAGAAAGAAGAACAACACATGGAACATGACGTCAAGTACAGCTGCAGCAACAGCTCCACCACAGTGTGTCAAAAAGAAAAGCGTTTTTCCTCGAGGTCGGCATACTTTTTTAAAATTCTTCGAAACTGTAATGCAGCGTATTTACACTATACTACAAACACCAGCGTAACGAGGCTTGGAGCTTCTATTCTACGCTGAGTGCTGCGTGTTTGCTTTTTTGGTTAAAATGTTGCACTTGTCACTGTTACTTTACACAGATGTACAATCACAGTGGAGGAGGGGCAGGACAGATTGCCTACCACGAGGTCAAGTGTCACATCTTAAAAGTGCTAAACAACAAAAACAATGGAGAAGAAATATGTTAATATTCTATATGTTATATATCAATATATGTTTCCTCACCCACAAAATCTTGTGAACCCACATAGAAAAGTACTTTGCATCAGGGATTAACACTAAAATTTAAATTAAATTGAATTGACATATTTTTTTTTAAAAAGGAGTGTATGTTTAAGTACATGGGATTTATGTTTTTTTGTTTTGTTTTGTTTTTTACCGTGGCATTGAATTTGGTATCGAGAATTGTGGAATTTCACCGGAATTGGTAATGACTATTAAATTTCTGGTATCATGACATCCCTGGTAAAAACATTACACTGACGTCACCTTATAACATTTTTGTGGTCAACACATTAGCAAACAACTGTTCACACATCCAAAATCCATCTCTTTACCTGCTAAATGCTCCACTGTGTTCACAAGCTAGTTCCTGACCTTGTCTGGCAGGTGCTGGGCAACAAGTGTTCTGTGGATTTATCAGAGTTTTACTCAAAAAAACTGTGCCAGCTGTGTCTGAAAACAAGCTTCTTGAGAACTAAGAAAACAGTTAGCTAAAAGACCCTAAAAGGCAACCCCTTTCACATTACAAATACCATTTGACTCATTAAAATATTGATTAGAGCAGCTTTTAAGCTCTATGTGGTAAATTGGAACAATCAAAAGCCCTTTATACACAGAGATCGTGCTATAGGGTCACTATAAAGCTGCTATGAAGTTATGACGCCTTTGTATTTTAACACAGAACCAGACAACAGCGGTATCATACCACTCCAGTGCGTGATTATAGACATCATGCAGGCATTGCGGAAGCAAAAAAGGTGTGACGGACATGATATGTAACACAACAGCATGGGCATAGTGTGACATATAACAGATGCATTGACAGCGCTTTATGAAATATAACAATGGCATTAACATAACAATAACAATCATTTACTGTCCCTGTTACACGGCGGCTGATCTCGTCCTCTGCTCGGATGGTAAGGAGCTCCCGGGTCTAATTGTTTTCCAGATTTGTGGGCATTTTCAACCACTGTTGTTCTTCTTTGAGTTAGCTGCTAAACGTCACACCCAGTGTGGCCCATGATCCCGTCCTGCTGGCTGTTGTATTTATTCAGACTTCATCGTGGCGCTGTTACTACCTCCAATGCTGGCTTAATGGTGAGACAACTCTGTCCCCTGATTCTAGGATTGTGGTTTTTACACAGCACGGCGAGATGGAATAACGGGGTAAAAGTCCTGCCTTGAAGAGGCAATGTAAAGGGGGTTAAAGACTCACTGCTGCAGGCTTTAAAAGGCAGTTGACTGTTGAAAAGTTTGATTGTTTTAGCTCCGCTACCGATCCACACTATCACACTCCTTTAACCACCAAAGCCAAATAGAAGCAGTATTTATTCATATTTTGATGAAATGTTGATTGTTGAGAACATACTGAGCACACTAATAGACAGCAAAGAACCGGATTACACAGCAGGAGTGGTTTGAAATGTTTCTATGGATGTTTCAGTCCTTTATTTCTGCCATTTAAACATGTCATCAGTGGATTCATTGTACCATGAATCCAAGATGATCAAAGCCTCTGTTACTTGTGAAGAAGGATACTTCGCCATAGCACACTCAGTTGCATATTCACAAACACACTCACACTCGGTGTAGAGGGAACAAATCTTGCTGCTGGTGCTCAACCATACAGCCCGCTGGATGAATGAATCCTTGTTTGAATGGAAAACTGCTGGGGGAGGGCAGGAGGGAAGAGGGGAAGAAAGCAAGGGTGGGAAGTTGGAGAGGAAACGGAAATGAGGGTGAATAGAATAAGCATGAAGAGAGAACCAGAGAACAAACTCTAGTAAAACCAGCAGATCTCATTCATTACACGACTGGGAGTCTAAGCCAACGGATGTTTTCTTGTGGCCTTGCAGTGTTTTGCCCCAGGTGTTAAATAGCATAGAGCTGGGCTCAAGTGTACAGGGTTAAAATGTGTCCAAAATGTTGCCTGCTGCTTTATGGGCTTCAGTTGCATGTGTGTGCATGCGCACTGTCAAGTGTAATTGTGTTAAAATTAGCCAGACACACACACACACACACACACACACACACACACACACACATGGTACACTAACTGACATACACTTCACACTGCAGGCTTGTGCAGGCTGTGGCAAGGGACAGTGCATGGGAAGTGTGAACAGTAGAAGACCAGACAAAATGACATGTGTTCGCCCAAGGAACTGGCACTGTAATTGTGTGTGTGTTTCTATGTGTGTGTATATGTGTGTGCATATGTTGGTGTACTACGCCAACCCTGCTGTTTACTGTGGGGGATTTCAGAAGAATTGTAGGCAGCTGGCAAACCCCTTCAGTTTCTCTTTTTTTTCTTCCCAAGTCTGCTAGTAGCTGTGTGTAGTAGTGGTCCGTTTGTCTGTCTGTCTGTCTGTCTGTCCATCACTCATTCATTTGCTCCACTTATGTGCATGTGGATTTGATGTTGGGCTACCACAGCGGTTTAACAAAATAGGCAATTTCCTACATGAAAAGAAGCAATAATTTCCCTCTAGCAGCTGGGATGCTGGCCTATAATGTGTTGATCAGAACTTAAAGCTGTACTAGAAAATATTTTCTTGGTAAAATACAGACTTAATATCAGCATGAATCACAGAGTGGCTCCAGAGATTGTAGAATGGCCCATTTCTATTATGTTTGCCCTGTTTTCTGTAATGAAATTCTGGGTTATGGTGATCAGGTCTATTCAAAGCAAGTACAAAATCAAAAGTTAAAAGTGGAATCTCCTGAACCGCAATGCACATCATACAAAATAAACCGGACAAACTGGGTTTCTTGGTGATGACATACTGTATATATAGAACAGTAGCCTACCACTATAAGCTATATTTGTGACTCATTGCAGCTTGCATATCAAGGCATCAGCTGTCATTGACTTCCATTTGAAATTGAAAAAAACAACAACACCTTAGCATGTAGCTTTGTCTAATGAAACTCTTTCACTTTGTCTTACGTTGCTTGAAAGAAAAGTTTTTTTATTTTTTATGTGCAGCGATGCAGCTAACCAATAGCCAGGAACCATGTGTCATTGAACTAATATCGCAGGTGCAGTCTGAACTTTAAGGTATGGGGTTCACTAAACAAATCTAGAGGAAATGTAATGTGAACAACAGAGGTTGCATTTAGACAAAATTAAATCAGGATACCAGCAGGTGCATTTTCATATCCCGGCTAATATGCTCAATGAGTGATGGAATATTGAGAGAATTACCATAGAAACTGTATTTACAGAAACTGCAAAACCCAACAGTTAACCAGATAAAGACCCCAGCTATTAGTGTCAGGGCTTGACAGTAAAGCTTGCCTGGGGCAAGAAAACTGTTCGGGCAAATGGAATGCCTCATGCAGTTGTCAGATTGGGCAGGTGAAAAATAAATGTGATGTCTGACTTTAATGTAATGCTATCTGAAAATAAACTACGTCCTGTATCACTGAAGTGGATCTTTTCCAACTGACTGATGAAAAAAATCTGACATACAGGACCATACAGAAGTTAACTCTGGGGTATCAATGTCATACACAACACTGATGTTACTAATACCCCAGCAGTATAATTGTTATCTGTCAATTGTATGTGTTGTATCTTAATAAACTATAAGTCAACTATAAATAAAATCCCTGTATCCATGCAATGCATAGTTCTGTGTTAAATGAAAAATATGGAAAATATTTCAATTGCTAAATGCACTTAGCTGCGACCACCATGGCATTCAGTGAGCCCCCAAACCAATGCATACTGCACCTGCACACAACTTAAGATTTTATTTGGCATTTTTGTCTTCATTTGGCAGATGACAGTGTGAAAGGTTGATTGAAACAGGGTGAGAAAGGTCCTAATGCTTGAATTGAACCTGTGGCTGTGTAGCATGCGCTGTAACCACACTCCTACCAACATGCTCTGCTGTGCACAACTAACCGCAGCTAATACAATACTTTGTTCTTCATTTCAGGGTTCCTGCTGTCTGACGCTGGATTTGGAGCAGCCTGCCGAGTTGTCTGTTGTCTATTATTGGTGGTTAGATTTTGGGATTACCATTGTTGAAGCAGCAGCTAGCATTAGCATTCAGTTTCTAGTTTCCTCAGCTGGCTGTCCCCGCTGGGAGTTAATTATTGCCATTAGTATTAGTCAGCTAGAGTTTCACTTTAGCTTTTCATCACGTTACTTACTTAGTGTCAAACCATTAGCGTTAGTGTTGGGTATACGTCGGCTGGTTAGCTGCCAGTATGGAACGCAGTAGCTGGAGCGGCAGTGAGAGTCCAGGGGACGATATGGAAAGACTGAGTGACTCAGGAGGGGACAAGACCATGGATGGGGACCCCGAGGGGGTCTGGAGCCCCGACATTGAGCAGAGCTTCCAAGAGGCCCTGGCCATCTACCCGCCTTGTGGAAGGAGGAAGATTATCCTGTCAGATGAAGGAAAGATGTACGGTGAGTAATGGGAGGTGACTGCTGTGAGTCACTGAGGGAACTACGTGAACAATTAATCAGTCTTCAAAATTGTTGTTGATTAATTCTCTATAGATCAATTTATCACCTATAAGACCCACTGCTACAGCACAGGTGTGATGTGTTACATGTGCCTGATGTTTCCCGGGTATCTAATCTGTTTTACCAAAGGAGGAAGATTTGGATTGAAGCTATATTACATTGTTAGCGTAGGCCACTTGTTAGTGTATTTTGCACCATATTTAAAGAATGTGGGTACTTTGTGATCGTTCAACACAAATTCACACAGTGTGTTGTGGGAGAATGTGACATCTCTACACAGTGTTATAAACACATCCAGTGATTGGGCGAGCTGTTGAAATGTTCGCTGTGGTGTGTCAGACTGTGAGAATTACTGGGTAGACGACTGTGTGTGTGAGGGCTGTCTCACAGGGCCTCGAGTGTCAGAGACACAGGAAAGAAAGATGAACTGTTAAAGAGAGAAAACAGAGACATGCTATAGGTGCGTCATGTGTATGTGTGCACGTCTCAGAATGAGCGTGACACTGAGAGAGAGAGTATGTATTTGTGTGTGTGTGTGTGTGTGTGTGTGTGTGTATGGATGGCTGTGTGTGTGTGTGAACTAATAGAGTGATGAACAGATGGTCCTCTGGCTGCCACCAGCTGCGTCTCCCTCCCCTCTCTCTTTCTGTAGTTTTTCTCTCCCCCCTCCTCTCTCTGTATGCAGAGTGAAATTTAGTGATTTCTTCATGGTTCTAGAGTTTTAGGTCTCTGTTTTATTGTAAATCCCAGACATTAAAGACTTTTTTTCTTTTAAATACTTTGATGAAATCTTGCCTCTGAAACTTGATGGATTTGCATACACACACTAAATGGCCAAAAGTATGTGGACGCCTGAAGATTTTAATCATTTGTGTTTGTGTTGAACATTTCCCATTCAGCCAGTGTTGCATTAGTGACGTCAGGCGCTGATGCTGTCTGGCTCACAGTTGACGTTTTAGTTGATCCCAAAGGTGTTCGATTGGGTTGAGATCAGAGTGGCGTAGCAGAGTTATTATAGTTTTGTATTTTCATTGGTTTTTATTTTTATTTTGTTTAAAATTTTTTCTTTCGCTTAAATTTAGTTTCAGTTAGTTTCCAGAGTGTGTTTGCTCATTTCAGTTTAATTCTTATTGTATAGAGATGTTTTTGTTAGTTCACGTATTAGTTTTAGGTTTATTAAAATATTGGGGATAGTTGTCTGGGGCAAGAGTTAAGAACTTTAGATTAGGTATCACAATACAAATACAACATTTTGTGAAGGCAGTTAGCCCACATTCTTGTAAACATCCCATTCTCAATAAACATATGCACCAATGCCTCCTCATGCTCGTTATGTTGACAAATTTTTACCAAATTGACAAAGACTAAAACTAAAGACATTCCCTGTATATATTCATTTTATTTTAGTTTTGTAAGTAAGAACACAACATCTTTTCAGTTTTTTTTCTGAAGTCTAGTTTATTTATTTTTTTCTATTTCAGTTACCTAAAATGTTTTACACCTAGTTTTAGTTTTTAGTTTAGTTTTAGTTAACTTTAATAACCTGCTGTGTCAAGTCGAAAACCATTTCTTTAAAGCTGCATTAAAACTGCATTAGTATATTTATATTAACAATGGGAAAAATTACCATGCGGAATGTAAAAGGTGTTGCCTGTGAGGATAAACCCACGAGAATTATCACCCAACTTTTTAGTTCCTCTCACCTCTCCTTAACTTTTTAGCGTCTTTTAGCTCATTGTTTTGATTTTATGGCCTGCAGTTTTACTGTTGTTTGCAGCAGCAGCAAGAAGCTGTGCTCAGCTAAAAATAATTAAATAAATAAATAATAATAGTACTAAATAAATGAATAAATAAAAAAAAACAATAGCTTTGAGATAAACCCATGGTACACTACAGCCTCTTTCCCACTGCACCCAAAACAACACTAACATCTAGCTTTTGTGTGTAATGGAAAAAATTAACAATATGCATTTACACCCAGGTCAAACGACTCTCAGTAGTCACGGGTATTTATCAACTCTGGCTCCGACCGGCATTGATGTAAATACAACACCCGGTTTAACACGCTCATTTTAGCCACTTTAACAGCAAGATACAGTGATGGGCCACTACAAAATGCTGTCCGTCGCTGCCTAAGTAGTGCCTAGACATCGACCAAGTTTGAAATAGAGACTGACTTAGTAAGAGATATATAAAAATGGGTAACTACCATCACAATTTTTACTGAACATAATAGGCCCGTTTCCACCGCAGGAACTTCGGGGTAATTTTACGGGGCTGGGGCCGTTGGTGCGTGTCTCCACCGCAGGAACCACCCCCGAAGGACAGAGTTCCGGAACTTTTACAGGGGCTAAACAAGTCCCTGCCTCGGAGTAGGTACTCAGAACGGCCCCAAAAGACTCCAGGCTGGGGCTTGGGGATAACTTGGTGCTGATTGGATATACTCAAGGAGGGATGTGACGTCAACAGAAAGCAACAAAATAGCCGGCATTTTTAAAACTCAGCAGACGAGGGTTAGCTCGTTCATAGCTTCCACCGCCATGTAAACAAACTCAATAACCGGACCGTGAAAAACATATTTTTTCCAGTGGATATGTTAGTTACAACATGATTGAGCTAGCAAAGCAGTTTTGTGTTGCTATGTGTGGTATTTATTCAGTTTTGGGAAATCACGATGTCTAGAAAGTATCAGTGGCTGCAGCTGACAGGGACAGCTAACAGCAGCAGCAAAGCTAACATCAGGACGTCATCTGTTAAAAGCCTCCCGTTGTCGGATACGACATGAAACTACTCCAGTTAGCTCAATCATGTTGTAACTAAGTTAGCCAATAGCGGTGTCCGTAGTAACTCACTAAACTCACTGAGTTTAGTGAGTTAGTGAGTTTAGTGAGTTAGCTGTTAGCTAACAGCTAACAATCAATCAATCAATCAATTTTATTTATAAAGCCCAATATCACAAATCACAATTTGCCTCACAGGGCTTTACAGCATACAACATCCCTCTGTCCTTATGACCCTCACAGCGGATAAGGAAAAACAGCGTCCCTACGCCACTACGTCGCCCCGGTCAAAATGGTCGCGCAACGATTACATCACATCCAGAGCCCGGTAACTTTACAGGAACCTTCCTCCTACTCTGCTCTCTCAGTGGAGACACGGCAGTTGAGAGGGCCAAGCGAGGGGACATTCCTGTAGTAGTACCTGCCCCCCAAATAGTACCAGGAACTTCTTTAGTGGAAACGGGCCTATTGCTGCTCTGGTTTACTGGCAATAGGAACGGAATCTATAGCCTATTTTTAGCGGGTTTACTTGTGTTTAAAAAAAACCCCGGACACACACTTATTTTGGTGGAAAAGGGGTGTACCAGTCCAGCACCTAACAGCAGACAAATTTGACCACTATCCTGTGAACTTCAGAGGGTATTTAACAATGAAAAATGCAGGTATTTCCCTCAAATGTTGGTGGAGATAAAAACAGAGCTAAAATGAGACTGGATATAGGACTTTGTCAGGTGCCCCCAAGTGGTAGAAAAACAACAACAAACAAATCAATCCAGGACCTTTTAAGGACTTATCCTTGTGCACAGGCCCATTGTCATGTTGAAACCGAAAAGGAAGAGTCTTCTGAAAACTGCTGGAAAGTTGGGAGCAAACTATCCAAAATAGCAGTGTGTGCTGTAGCACCTAGATTTCTCTTTCTTAAAGCAAAACCAGGACAAACAGTCCCAGACCAAATGGAAACAACAGCATGTTACACACACTTTTGGCCACAAATACTCGAACCAAAAAATCAATCTCACTTTGTTCTCTGCCTCTGTACAATCTTCCAAGCTATTTTTTTTTTTGTGTCCAAGTTGTTGACATATTAAGCACTGTTGCCCAATTGACCCTTTGCTAAGTCCCGCCCTTGAATGCAGACTGGCCACTTTTGGCATTGCATCAGCTTGCTGCAACCAGGGTCCAACAAATATACGGCTGTGCTCCATAGACATTCATGCAATTGTTTTAGATTTTTCTACATTGGGCATGTTTTGTGGATTTGGAGCCAGTCACAGCTAAACACTGTGCATGGGGCACGTGTATTAATGACATAATAAACTTTTAACCTAATGTTGCTGAGTCACTTTGACATCCCGAATATATCCTTCAAATTAATATTGTAGACCCTCTTATCTGCTCTCTGAAATTGCTTTTATGTTTTTCAAAAAAATTGAATAATATATCTTTATGGTGTGCAGTTGGTTAAAGTGTGGGCTACATGCTAGCTCCGTCAGCTTGATGGAGTAGCAGCGGCTAACAATAAAGGGTTTAGGCCAAGCAAAGGGTCAGTTGAGTTAAACAGTGGTCCCTTTGAGATTCAGAAGTACTGTCGTAAAAAAGATCCACTATTACAGCAGCTTTGCTTCTTTGATTTCTTTTTACACTAAACCAAACAAGTAAGGCATAACGCCGCCCCACTGTGGGATTTTAGACACCATGCCTGCATTCTGGAAGCAAAAGAGGCTTTATATGTAACACAACAGTGTTAGCATTTTGCGTGTGTTTGTGTGTGTAGTCTTGCCTTGCAAACTGTCTTTTTACACAGACATTGATTCTGCTCTGTTTAGTATCATCACTGTTGGTTTAATGGTGGAACAACTCTGTACCCCCAGTCCATGTTGGTACCGTTTATACAGAATGGTGAGGTGGAATAGCAGCTCAACATTAAACAGGCTGTGTAAAACGGTCTACTGTCTGTTTTCTGTGCAGGAAAGGAGAAATGGCGAGAAGGGATGAGCAGCGCTTGAATTAGAGAGGGTTTAATTGTTCTGAGAACATCAGTGCAAACTTAAGTTCTGAAACAGCATCTAGTTTGTTCTTATTTTTGGCTCCTGATGCACACAGAATAGGACAAGCTCACATATTTACCCATGCATGTTTTTTAACTTGACTTTCAAGAAC